GAAAGCTGACCCATTATCCAGATCGGGTTGCCACAAAATAATGTGTTCATGTGGTCACTTTTGTGTTGAATCGACTTATCATCCCATTCTACAAGGAGTGGCCGAGCACAAAAGCGCATGTAGAGGCTGTTTAGCTTAAAATTAGAGCCATCTATGCATACGGCAGAAAGTGGACATGAGATTGAATAGTCTTAAACTTTTCGTTTTGAGAAATCATCGAGATAAACTGAATTGAATGTAAGAGTACTTACAAGTTGTGAAGTGAAATCTATTTGTCCTTAATTAATAGACTCAAGAATAGAGATAATGTAGAACCGCCTGCAAAATGGATACGACTCAGCCTATATTTTTTTGTCTCGGTTCTGATAACATTTATTATTAATTTTTAGCCCACTCTTTCTCTCTCACATCAAGACAGAAAGCTCATCAGCATTACCAGAAATGTGTTCGGTCTTGCTCAATCGTATTGATGGTTAAAAAATATATACAAAAAGGGGATGATGGTGGTCACTGAACCTTGATGGCTGAGAACACAGCTTACTTTGTCTGTTTCAATTACTTTGAGCCATCACTGTTGGTTTCGTACATATGCACACATACACACACAAACACACTCAAATGCTTAGGCGTCGAAATAGTCTTGAATTAACCAAATCACTTTAAACTGAAATACAGCATTTAGGGAGTTTTCTTGACTCGTTAGCTTGGATACAATTGTAAGGAGGACACCCTGCTCTGATGATCTCCGTCAAACGGTACAGGAAGCTTAGTATATTTTCACAGAAATCGAAGGGGATTGTCTCGGGAATAGCATCAACAAGAATGTTTCAGTAAAGCCAATTGACAGCTGATCAAGGGAATACGTTGTCATCTTCTGGTGGGACCGACCTTCGAATCTATTTACCAAACACCTTCACCAGAAATGGAAGTAAGCTCAACAATTATGATGCGAGAGCCTCCTCGAAACACAAATTTGCATAGGACAGCCAACCAAACCATGAAACCGGACATCTTCCTTGTCTTCGTGTTTTA